TGCTCCAGCCCCAGTGCCTGCGGGATGCGGGATGTGGGAGCGGAGCTCATTGCCCGCCGGCTCCGCGGGGCCGCCCCGGCACAGGGACAGCGGGACATGTCCCCATCGCGCTCAGCAATGGCCCCCGGCAGGGCCGGGGAAGCGGGCGGCGCGGGCAGCGTACCTGGATGCGCCGGATCACGGCGTGGTGCACCCGGCACATGTCCGCCAGGGACGGGCTCTCCATGAGGATCTCCACGGCCTGGATGGGGCCCGCGGGGCTCAGGTCGTTCATGGCCACCTGCGACATGGAGCACAGCGTCACTGTGGCCGCGCAGGGGGCACACGGGGGCCCGCCCGCAAAAAAACTCCCCCAGGCCAGCCCGTCCTCGGGTGAAGCAGCAGCTGGGAAAGCCACCTCGGACCAGCCCCTCGAGGGGAACGCGGCCCCCCACGCTCGGAAGCATCAGCCAGCCCTAGCTGAGGCCTCTCGCGCTCATTGCACCCCCACGGGGACCTGCATCACAGCAAGGTGCCTCTGCCAGAGGGCTCCTCTGCGCCGGGACGACTCGATGCCCATTCCCTGCCACCCCGGCGGGTTTAATCCCGCGGGCTCAGCGGGGCCGCCCAGCGCGCTGGCAACGCCGGTGCTCTCAAGTGTGAAGCAACCCGAGCCACGTCGCTGCCGCGCGCGCAGGGTCAACCAGCCGTGGCGGGACAGCCGGGAGCAATTAGTATTTTTCCTTCGCGCTTAGAGAGGGATTTTCGCATTAAAGGGGAGAAAGCTGCAGCAGATGAGATTTAAATCCCAAATCCAGCCACGTTTTCCCCGTGCTCTGCAGAATTAGCAAAGCGCACCAGGACAAACGAGCAGGGAAAGCTCGTTGCTTCCCACAGCCACAGGCCAGGGCATGGCCCGAGGTTGCCAAGTCTCTGCGGGGCCGGGCAAGGGGACGGCTGTGTGCGGGGACAGCGCGGGGACAGCACGGGGACACGGCGGCACCGCTCTGCAGCCTCCAAACACCGGC